TTGATAAGCCCTTATCGACTACCGTTTGAGTCGGGCTAGCATGCAGATTGTTTAAGTCTATTCTGCATATAACGTTATGCTAAAAGAGGTAACTCTTTTGCTGCTATGAGATTGAATACGTAGACTTCATTTTTTTATAGGAATAGACTACCCAAAAATACGTGTTAGGCGCTGACTTGTCCCTTCTTAGGATTCGGGATAAAAGTCTTCAGACTTGGATTCCGGTGTCTTTTTTACTCGGTGAAAGACTAAACCGACAACACGTGTTAGGCGTTGACTTATCCCTTCTTAGGATTCGGGATAAAATTCCTCGCATGTGTAAAGCATGGATTATGATGTTATTAATAACAACCTACCATAATGTTGAATATGTGGGTTTTTTATCCTTTTATTACGGTCAAAGACTAACCGGCAATACGTGTTAGGCGCTGACTTATCCCTACTTAGGCTTCGGGATAAAATTCTCCAGACTTAGATTTTTGTATCTACATCACTCGGTGAAAGACTAAACCGATAATATGTGTTAGGTGTTGACTTATCCCTTCTTAGGATTTAGGATAAAATTTCCTGCGCTGTAAGGCACGAATTTTGGTGTTATTAATAACAACCTATCACAATATTGAATATATGTGCTTTTTGTCCTTTTTTACGATCAAAGACTAATCGGCAACGTGTGATAGACCCCGACTTATCCCTACTTAGGCTTCAGGACAAAATTCCCCAGATTTGAATTCTGATGTCTTCTTCACTCGGTGAAAGACTGAACAAGCAACGCGTATTAGGCGTTGATTTATCCATACTTAGGCTTCAGGATAGAATTCCCCGTGCTCGTGAAGCACAGATTTTGGGAGTTGAAAAAGCGGTGTCTTTTCTTAGGACAAAGATGAACCCGATGCTGGAGAGGAAGAATTTTATATTCTCTCTCTAGTTACAATGAAAACTTAAAGTAGGATCTTCACTTCAAGAATCTGGGAAGGTAAAAGTAAGAGTGAGATCTCCACTCCGAGAATCGAAAAGATTCGGATAATCCTAACTGTCGAAAGGTTTGATTACCGAGCTAAAGGTAGGTTTCTCATTTATCAAGAGTGAATTTCGATTTTGGCCCTAACTGTAGGAAAGTTTGACCAAGTGGGAGGTTTGAGACGACGCTAACTGTAGGAAGGTTTGATCGCTCGATTTGAAAGTAGACCTCTCGTTCATAGAAGGAATCGAGAGGAGATTTTGGTTGTGGACCTAACTGTAGGAAGGTTTGACCGAGATAAAAAGTGGGAGTGAGAGTACAAATCACTCAGTAGGGGTTCCTTGGTGTCAAGTGATAAGAACTGAGATAACTGTAAGAGACCTCTCTTCTTATCTTTCGTGATTTACATTCTAATGATCTTCTTTGCTAGACCCAAATCTTTCATGTCAAATTCCTTTGACAATTGCTTCTTCAAACTCCTGATATCCTCCATATCTGCACATTCAACTAACATATCATTAATATATAGCAGTAAGATGATATAACTGGACTGATATCTTTTGAAGTAGCAATAGTGGTCAGTGTTGCACTTCTGGAAACCTTCCTTGTGCATGAAGCCGTCAAACTTCCTGTACCACTGTCTTAGGGATTGTTTCAGGTCATACAAGTTCTTCTTGAGTCAGCACACCAGGTTGTTCTTTTCTTCTGAGAAACATTCTAGCTACTACATGTATATCTCCTCTTCTAAATCTTCATGAAAAAGCATTGCCTTCACGTCCAACTGCTCAAGATGAAATTCTTCAACTGCTACAATACTCATTACTGTCTTGATAGTATTTAGCTTCACCATGGGAGCAAAAATATCGGTGTAATCAATTTCTTTATTCTGTTGGAATCCTTTGACAACTAGCGAAACTTTATATCTTCTGGAACCATCCTGCTTCTCTTTCACCCAGTACACCTATTTGTTATAGAGTGTCTTCTTACCTGTGGGCAACTCAGCTAGTTCCCATGTTGGGGTTTAAGATGAGAGAATTCATCTCTTCTTTCATGGCAAGCTGCCACTTGCTCGCATCTCCACTCTGATAAGCCTCATCATAGCTTTCAAGCTCCCCTCCATCTATCAACAACAGATAGTTTATATATCTCCTGCTAGGTACAGGAGGCCGAGAAGATCTTCTCAATATCAGAGCTGGTGTGTCAGGCTCCTGTGCACCATTCTGTCCAACAGGCTCTTCTGGCTGAGGACCTTCTGCATTGGGTTTTTCCGAGAGGTTACTTGGGACAACATCTGCATCTACAAATATTGACTTGCTCTTTAAGTCATCTGTCTTGTGCATGACCTTGTGCATCTACAAATGTTGACATCCTTCAGCTCCCATACTGGCCCGTTCAACTTAATTTTCACTACACCTTTGCCCACAATAGCACACGGTTGATTATCACCAATGTATACATATCCAAGATTTCCAGAGACATACTTCTCAAAGAATTCTTTAAGAGAAGTAGCATGGAACGACGCTCCTGAGTCTAACATCCAATATTACTCCTTGCTCTCCAAAAAGCATATCAATGCGTCGTCTCCTCCTGAGGTGGAAGTAACATTCACCTCTGCCCTCGCCTCATTCTCCTTCTGTGCACTCTTGAACTGATTCTTATAGTCCCTTGTTTTCCCATAATTCCAACACTCGATAGCCTTTGATCTGTTGCTTGGATTCTTGGATTTGGGCCTCCTGTCCTTTGATCTACCTCTGAAGTTTGATTCGCCTCGTCCATTTCCTCTGGTTGAATTTTTACCTCTTGACTCTGTATGCAATATTAAAGAGGTTGTAACTTCACCCGAATCTCTCCATCGGATCTCCTCACCGAGAACCAGATCACGAACGTTATCGAACTTCAACTAGTTGTTTCCCGACGAGCTACTCACAGCTGTGGCTATAGCATTTCAGTTTTCTGGTAGGGAAGACAAAATGACCAACGCTCGAACTTCCTCATCAAATTCAATTTTAACTGAACTCAATTGGGTTATGACCGTGTTGAGTTCATTAAGGTGTTGTACAACTGATGCCCCTTCCGCCATTCTCAGATTGAATAACTGCCTCATCAAATGACCTTTGTTCACGACTAATGGCTTCTGATACATATTTAAGGGTGCTGTCATAAGACCCGTCATGGTCTTCTCCTTCGCAATATTGAATGTAACATTACGAGCTAACGTCAATCTGATAACTCCGAGGGCTTTTCTATTTAGAAGGTTCCACTCGTCTTCCTTCATAGAATCCGACTTCTTCCTCGAGAGGAGTTGATATAGATTTTCTGATACAGATACTCCTCTATCTGCATTCTACAGAATCCGAAATCTGTTCCATCAAACTTCTCTAATCTCACTTTTATTTCATTTGCGACCATCGCTCTCACTTGAATCTGATTTCCTCTAGATCGTTTCAAGCTTTGATACCAGTTGTTGGGGAAAATCCGGGGCTACGCTAAACCCCTAGAACAACAAAAACCCCAGTATAGAGAAAAGTACATCAAGGTTTACGAGGTTCGGCAAACTTGCCTATGTCCTCGGGAGCAACACAATTAATTTATTATTAAACAACAAGAAATTATAATGCAAGAGCAGATCTCAAACTTAAGATCTCTTAATAAATACAAATCAATAATGTAGCTACAGTGTTGATTCCCCCTCTTTAATAAATTCCCTTCTTCTTTAATTCCCTTCCTCAAAATCTCGTGAGCTGAAGGAGAAAGAAGAGAGATCGCGAGAGAGGAGAGAGAGAGTCGCCGCCAGAGGGAGAGAGCACGTGAGAAGAGAGAGAGAGAGAGAGAGAGAGAGAGAGAGAGAGAGAGAGAGAGAGAGAGAAACCCCCACGAGATCTGGGTTTCCCTTTTATAGGAAAACCCTAGCTGAGTTGTCGACAGGCTGTCGACAACCTGTGAAGAGCTCGCCTGCACTCGAGGAGCTCGCCTGCTATGCGTCGAGCTCGCCAGACGCCACAACCTCACCTGCGTGGGGTTCTCGAGCTCGCCTGACTCGCCCTCGCTCGCCGTCGACCTCACCTGCTCGCCTGCGGAGGTTTATGTCTACACCCGACATTAACAACCCTAATACCCTAATAATGCTGATTTCCTCGTCATTCAGTACCCTAAGTTTATACATCATACAAATCTAACCTTTATACCCTAAAATATGTGAATTAATACAATTCTAACGCTACTACAATATATTCCTATTTTGCGAATATCAGATAATAATCCACATGCAGGGTCCGCACTACGTAGTAAAACAATGCAGTGGATATCATGTAAATGAGTGCTTATCTCAATGGATAGAGATTGAGGACGAGAGAGTAACAATGTTATTCAAGCTTGACAGATTAAAATCTAGTACTTAGTGATGTAATGTGTTATGGACAACCAAAAGATATCATGGAGTTATTCTACGCATACTGTACCAAATACGTGCATAGTTTTGTGATGCTTAAGGTTTGATGATATCATTGAGAAAGTTACAATGGATGCATATGGGTTTTTACTGAGGTTATAAGGGATGCATATGGTTTTTTGTCTTGTAAATCTAGATAAGGGGATATACCCCTATTTAAAGCTTATGTTCACAAAGCAGGTTACTGAGTTTTTCTATATCAAAAAACGTAGGCAGCTGAAGTTTTGGTTCATATTGTATAAGGAGCTGGGGTATCTTATTCAACTTGCTACCGATGAAAATTTTGGAGCGTTTAAATAAATCCTATAAACTCTGTTTATTTCATGAAAATACATTAGAAAACACTAAGTAGCAAATAAATTTATTAAAATTTATAGGAAAAGTGGGTGTAAAATTGCAATAAAAATTACCGGTCACCCAATCCTAACTCCAAAGTTCAGGGGTTATGTAGAACCCTCAAAATGTCAGGGGGGATCTTGTGAAATTAACCCAAAAAATATTCCTCCAAGCATCTGATCCTTATATCCTACGTGTCCCTCAGCCATTAGAGATCTTCCTATCCTTCTTTCCACGTCAGCAAGCCCATTCCCAACCCGGGAACTCTGAAACATTCTGGACCAACCGAACTCCAGAGAAAAGCTAAGGTTTTCTTCCGGAGTACAAAATCAAATACAAAAAATTCCAATTAAAAAAAAAAACTCCACTTTGATCATCAATTTCTTCCAAAACCCATATCCCATAATTCAAAATCCTAATCCCATTATGCGATGGAAGTCCTCAATGCAGCAGGACTAACCCCAATCTCACTCCACAAGCCAACTTCTCCCACTGAGAGAAGAACAGAGGTCAGAAAGCTCTTCCCTTTCAAAATCCCAAGAGGCATCACTTCAAACTTAGCAGCATTCTCCTCTGTTCTCTCTACCAATGGCCTGGCCAAGGCCCTGACTTATGAGGAAGCCCTCAACCAGTCAATAGCCAACCCTCCTGAATTCGCGGGCTCCTCCGATTTCGACATCGGGAAGATTCTTGATGGGATTGTTAGTTTTGGTACAGAAAACCCTTTGGTGATCGGCGGAGGAGCTGCGGTCTTGGCTATTCCCTTGATCCTTTCGAGAGTGTTGCAGAAGCCTAGGAACTGGGGGGTGGAGAGTGCTAAGATTGCTTATTCGAAGTTGGCGGAGGATGTTGGTGCTCAGTTGCTTGATATTAGAGAGCGAAGGGAGTTTAAAGAGGTCGGGAGCCCGGATATTCGGAGCTTGAAGAAGAAGGCGGCGGCGGTTACATATAGAGGAGACGACAAGAACGGGTTCTTGAAGAAGTTGGCATTGAAGTTTAAGGACCCGGCGGATACCACATTGTTCATTCTTGACAAGTAAGATGATGTTTTGTCTTTCAGTTTGCTGAAATTTGGTTTATTGGTTCTGTTTGTTAGGGTGCTTGATTTATTTGGTTGCTTCCATTATGATTGTCCCTTGGAATGTCTATTTCATTTCAATCTAGATTGTTTAGATATGCAAACAAGTAGTATGGCAAATCAGTACAAATAAATTATGAAGTTTAAAGACTTTGTTTGCATGTTGAGCAATGAACGGATAATTGTTGCTATTGTTGGCCTAATAGCTGGCCCATTACTTGGAGGCCTAGTGTTTTCTTTTGGTTACCCGGTTTGCTTACGAGTCGTGCCCTAGCCCCTTTCGTGACCACTCGTTTGCAATGGTACTCAGCCGCTCTCATTCCTCTTCGTCCTGCACCGCTGCCCCTTGCCCATCTCGTCCTGCGCCGCTGTCGTTGAGTCTCATCCCCTGTAGGTTGGTTCCTACCTTCGCCTTCCCTCCCCGTGTCGGTTGCCCCCTTCCCTATATATGGCGAAGGGTTGGTAGTAGCTCGGAGTGGGAGTGAGCGTGGGTGTCGAGATCTTGAGCTCTGTGCTTTACCCCCTTTGTGCGATCCTCCTCCCTACCTGCGCTCTGTGCTCCTTCGAAGGCTCTGTGCTTTCAACCCCTTTGTGCGATCCCTCCTGTGAGCTTTGTGCTCTCACCTCCTTTGTGTGAATCCCCTTTCCTCTTTGTGAGTGATTTAAGGTGAAGATCAATGGGCTCCCCTTTGTGTTCTTGGTTGTGCACAGTTGAAGAAGGAGGAATGATTGAGCAGGCTTCTGAGCCAAACATCGACGACGATCCTCAACAGTGGTATCGGAGCTGGGTGAGTGTCGCTGTCTTTTCAAAACCGCCGATCGCCGTCGGATCGCCACTGGACCATCGCCGGACCATCGTCGGACCGCCGCCGGACCTCCGCGTGGGCGTGGGTAAGGTCGAAACCCTCTCCTAGGGTTTCGCTCAGGTATACTCTGCCCTTTGTTGAAGATTACAGTTAATCTATAGCTTTGATGAAAATTTACAGTAAATTCTGATGATTTTTCTGCTATAGTTACATGTTATTTTTCCTAAAAAATTAGTTTCTGTTACTGTTTGTGCTTGTGTGAAAGAACAAAGAGATTGAAACAAGAACTCTGTGTTCATCGTTCTTCTCATTTGTTCGTGCTAGTTGCTTCACACGTTTCGAGCCGGATAATTACCGAAATCATCGTGCTATTTGCTGTTTATTTTTCTGTGTGAAAAATATCTACTGCTAATCAATATAGTATGATTCAATATGGTATGGCTCCGTTCAACGGAAAATCTGATTTTAGTATTTGGAAACAAAAAATAAAAAGCATTTTAATTCAACAGAAGTCTTTTAGGACTGTTGGTCAGACTTATTTAACTTCTGACACTGAAAATAAACGGGCGGAAATGAACAAAAATGATTGTTCCATAATTTATTTGAACTTATCTGACTCTGTGATTAGAAAAGTTAGAATTTTAGAATCTGCTAAAACCCTTTGGGATAAACTTGAAGAACTCTATACTGAAACCTCTTTGCCCAGTAAAATATTTTTGCTTGAATTTTTTTTTAAATTTAGATTGGATATGTCTAAGGATATTGAGGAGAACCTAGATGTTTTCACAAAACTTATTTCAGATATTAAGTTAACTGGTGATAAACATATAGACGACTATACTCCTATTGCCCTTCTAAATGCTATTCCTGACTCATATATTGATGTGAAATCTGCTATTAAGTATGGTAGAGATGAGGTTACCCTTGACATTGTGGTCAATGGTCTTAAGAGTAAGGAATTAGATTTAAAACATTCTGGGGGAAATAATAATTCTGGTGAGGTTATGCATGTGAGGGGTAGGTCTCAGAATAGGTCTAATAACCAAAAGAATGCTATTAATGGGGAATCAAGTAAGAAAATATTCGAAAACGAAAGGGGTAGATCTAAGTTTAGGTCTAAAGTTAGAAGATGCTATAATTGTCATGAAACCGGTCACTTTATTAGAGATTGTCCTAAGCCTAGGGAAAATGAACAAAATGATTATACTAATATGGCTGTCTATGAGGGCGAAATGGGTGAAATTTTCATGATTAATAATCTGTGTGATTATGCATATTTGAACTCTGTGTTATCTGATACTTTGTGTAAATCAAATTGGTTAGTAGACTCTGGTTGTACTTTTCATATGACTCCTTTTAAAAATATTTTTCAAACTACATGAAAATAGAGAATGACTTTCTGTCAATGGCAAATAAAAAGAAATGCAATGTTTTAGGAACTGGTGATGTATGCCTTAGGTTTTCTTCTGGTTCTGTGTTTGCTTTGAAGGATGCTAGGCATATTCCTGATTTACGTTATAACTTGATTTCTTGTGCATCTCTAGAAAATGATGGTTTGGAGGGAAAATGGGGTAAAGGGGTTATGAAATTTTTGAAAGGGTCTCTTGTTATTTTTACTGTTGAAAAACAAAATAACTTGTATGTTTGTCATGTTGTACCTGTGCTTGATTCTGTTAACTCTGTGATAGGTGATAAATCTATTTTCTGGCATAATAGATTAGGTCACATCAGAAATAAAGGATTAGAAATTCTGCATGAAGATAGTCACTTTGGTAGTGGCAAAGGATCCTCAACAGAGAGGATGAAAAATAATTTGAGGATTTTCGGGAGTGCTGGCTATGTGCATCAAAGGATTGATAAGTTAGAACCTAGATCTAAGAAATGTGTTTTCTTAGGATATCGTGAAGGGTTAAAAGGTTATAGGCTTTGGAATAAGAGTGAACTGGGGTTTAAGGTAGTGATAAGTTGAGATGTTATTTTTGATAAAAATGAATTTTCTTGTTTACCATTACCTGTCCCTATTTCTGAAAATGATGCTCCAAATAAGGTGGAGCAAATGCCTATTATTAATCAACCTGAATCACATCCTAAAGATATAATTATTAAAAATCAAGATAAGATTATTCCTAATGAGGTGGAGCATGATATGCAAGAAATAGATAACATGCATGATTTGAATGATTATCAATTCACTAGGGATAGAGATAAAAGAACTATTAGGAAACCTGAGAGATATAGAGATTGTAATTTGATAGATTGTAATATGTCTGAGTTTTTCTTTAATGTGTTTGAATCCCTTGAGTGCTTTGAACCTAGGAATTATAGAGTTCGGTCCTTTGTGGACTTTCTTTAATGTGTTTGAATCCCTTGAGTGCTTTGAACCTAGGAATTATAGAGTTCGGTCCTTTGTGGACTTGGCTTTGAATTTCGACTTTGGGTAATTTTTTTGAACCTAGGAATTATAGAGTTCGGTCCTTTGTGGACTTGGCTTTGAATTTCGACTTTGGGTAATTTTTCCCATTTGCTTTGTGAGTTGCCTTTGTGGCCTATTAACCTGCTTTGTACTTGGGTAATTTTTTCTTTGCTGTGTGTTGCCTTTGTGGCCTATTAACTTGCTTTGTGCTTGTTAGTAGCTTTGTGTTTTTTTCCCCTTTGAACTCGATGACCGTTTGGTAGAGTTCGGTCCTTTGTGGACTTGGTATGCTTGGTGATCTTACCCCGATCTTTGTGATCTAGAGTTTACTTTGTGTATTCTCTATCATTGCTTGTATCTTCTTTGTGATCATACAAGTAATAATTTGGCGATGATGAGTCCTGCAGTTTCGTGTTGTTTCTCTGTGCACTACCTTGGGCCAAATGTGAAGATTGTTGCTATTGTTGGCCCAATAGCTGGCCCATTACTTGGAGGCCCTGTGTTTTCTTTTGGTTACCCGGTTTGCTTACGAGTCGTGCCCTAGCCCCTTTCGTGACCACTCGTTTGCAATGGTACTCAGCCGCTCCCATTCCTCTTCATCCTGCATCGTAGCCCCTTGCCCATCTCGTCCTGCGCCGCTGCCGTTGAGTCCCATCCCCTGTAGGTAGGCTCCTACCTTCGCCTCCCCTCCCCGTGTCGGCTGTCCCCTTCCCTATATATGGCGAATGGTTGGTAGTAGCTCGGAGTGGGAGTGAGTGTGGGTGTCGAGATCTTGAGCTCTGTGCTTTACCCCATTTGTGCGATCCTCCTCCCTACCTGAGCTCTGTGCTCCTTCGAAGGCTCTATGCTTTCAACCCCTTTGTGCGATCCCTTCTGTGAGCTTTGTGCTCTCACCTCCTTTGTGCGAATCCCCTTTCCTCTTTGTGAGTGATTTAAGGCGAAGAACAATGGGCTCCCCTTTGTGTTCTTGGTTGTGCACAGTTGAAGAAGAAGGACTGATTGAGCAAGCTTCTGAGCCAAACATCGACGACGATCCTCAACAATAATGAAGAAGCATTAGGTCCTGAAAATGAGTGTAGCTGAATTAAGAAATTTTGAGATTGAGATGGAGCTAGGGAGACAATGTTGTGCTAAATGGTCTGATGAGCTAACTTCACAGGTAGTTAGAGATAGCTTAAATTGAAGGAAGGAGAAATCTGCTTAAGGTAGATTGTTGTGAAAGAGTCAGGGCTAAGGATTTACTTTAACAAACAGGGACGAAGGCAGTTGAAAAGGATATGGCAGTAGTAATTACACAAGATGCGTGTTAACAATGGTAAAAGGAGAAAAACGATCTATGTAATCAACTCAGAGATTTGAGGTAAAGACATTATTATTAGAATTGTGTCTTTGATTCTATATATAACTTCATGAGAATTAGATAGAATCAGAGATCTATCATGATTAGAAAATTGGGTCTCATCATGATTAGGAGTTTGAATCCTATTATAATTAGGAAGTTAGGATAGAGATATGATTTTGGTTTTCCTATATATATTCTTCTATTATTGGAGGAAAAACCAAGGAGAATGGAGAAAGCTAATATTCTTATAATGTAGGGTTAGCAGAGGGCATAGCCTGATTCAAGAATATTATTCAAGAATATAATGTAGGGTTAGTAGAGGGCATAGCCTGGTTTTATGGTCCTTATCCGTGCAAAATATTACAACATTAGGAGAGGGTTTCATAATCTTTGTCCG